TCTTTCTTTCTTTCTTTCTTTCTTTCTTTCTTTCTTTCTTTCTTTCTTTCTTTCTTTCTTTCTTCTCTCTCTCTCTGTCTCTCTCTCTCTCTCTTCCTCCCTCCCTTTCTTTCTTCCTTCCTTCTTTCTTTCTTCAAGTTTTCATCTACAATATGACTAATATGGAAATATTTCACATGATTACACATGTATAACCTATTTCAGATTGCCTACCATCTCAGAGAGGGTGAAGGGGACAGAGAGAGGGATAGAATTTGGAACTCAAAGCTTAAAAAAAAGAATGATAAAACATGTTAAAATTGTTTTTTTCCATGTAATTGGGGAAAAATAAAATATTATTTTAAAAGTTTATAACCCTGGGGAAGCCTGAGATTCTGGATCCAGACATCTTGTACTTATAAACACTATTTTGACAATGTAGTCCATACCTATACAATAGAAACAATATCTTGCGGTACTTAAAGGGAATTCTCAGGTTGCCCCTGAGTCTTCTCTAGGCAAAAATCCCCAGTTCCTTTAATTAATCCTCCCAGAATGGGATCAATCAACCAACAAGCATTGATTTAACACCTCTTACGTCTCTAGCATCGTTCTAGGACCTGGGAATACAAAGACTAAAGAAAAAAAAAGAAACAGTTTATGCCCCCAAGTATCTTACATTCTATTGGGACAAATGAGATAGACATATAACTAAATACAAAGAGTCATAACAAAGTAATTTGGGGAAAGGTTTTGTTAGTAATGGGGAGATAAGGAAAAGCCTCTTAAAGTGGGCAGCAATGTGCTGAGCTTTGAAGTAAGCCAGGGATTCTAAGGGATAGATGTGAGAAAGGAGAGTATTCTTGGCACGGAGGGTGGCACCGTGGGAGTGTTGTGCAGAGGCATGGAGGTGGGAGAATATTCCTTAAAAGGATCAGCAGATGGGCCATTTAGACTCTCTTCATCTTGGTTACCCTCCCTGGGACACACTCTAGCTCGCCAACATCCTTCCTAAATGGAAGCGTCTAGAAGTAAACACAGTTCTCCAGATGAGGTCTGACTGGGGCAGAGTGCACCAATGCCTGAGGGCAAGAGGGGTGGTCAAGAGATGGTATCTGTTAATTACTAGGCAGTGGAGACACTGAGCTCTTGTTAGCAATCCCAGTCAGTATTCCTCACACACCACAAGAAGCTGCCGGCCTCTGGGATGATGGGGAGACCCTCTAAGGGATGGGGAGAGGGAGGGCCATATTTGAACTTCTGTTTGTCTCCACTCAGCCTCTAAGTGGGACCAGGAAAGATGGAGCTGTGACCAACTTGGTCTCTCTTGGGACAGCAAGGACTTAGTTATTAGGCTATGCAGACACTTCATCTCCCACCTCTGGGCATTTGTATAGGCTGTCCTTTATGACTTAAATGTAATCTTTCCTTATCTCTGCCTCTAAGGATTCAGGGGTCAGCTCGCTTTCATTTTGTGTAGGAATTCTGAGAGCTTTGGGTGGAGGAAAGGAAATGACCACAGAGCCCCCTGAAAGCCCATAATATTCGATTCCTTTGAAGTGCAAGAGTGAGGTAGAGATCCCCTGCCAATTTGGAGGAATTTATGAAACAACTCTTTGCCATCGCAGGTGCTCTTAGGGATGCCAGTACCCCTCGCACTTAAAAGATTACAAGGTGGTGGGCTGACAACAATCCCATGAGACAGACACTGTTTTTATCCCTGTTTTACAGATCAGCAAACTGAGGATCAATTTAATTAAATTCAACAAACATTTATTAATCAATCATCTGTTCTATGGATGAGAATAAAGCAGTTCTCCCTCCACCCCAAAGGAGCTGACATTTCACTGGAGTAGGGTGAGCAGTAGGAGAAATATTCAGCAAGCTTGTCACTTACCCACAGTAACATAGCTAGTAGGTATTTGAACTTACTAGAAGCCCAATACTGTGTCTTCTATGGGCCATTCTGGGTGGGCTTCTGGGTCACCCTACCTCCATACCCTCTGTGAAATCTTTATTCCATTTAGCAGTTAAGGGTTGATTTGCCCAAACAACGAGATGTGGAGACAAGAGAAAACCCATCTTTTCTGTGTGTGATTTGATCAAACTAAGGATGACTTGGTTAGGACTGAGTACCGAGTGGAGCAAAGTTCATTGTCTGTGAGAGCTATTTGGCTTCCATTGATACAACTGAGAGGTTAAGTGAAAGTGACCTGCCTAGGGTATGTGTCTCAGGCAGGACTTGAACCCAGATCTTTGGCTGAGTTCAACTTGTTCATTTTAAAGATGAGGAGACTGAGGTTGAGAGAAGATAAATGACTTGTCCAGGCTCATGTAGCTTGTAAATGTCAGATTCTAACTTGGGTTTTCCTGACTCCTAGGTTGCTTGTCTATCCATTGCACGGTCCTGACTTACTCATGCCCTTATATTAAAAGTAACACCTGTTCTACTGATCTCACTGGGTTTGGTGAAAATATCATGATATATAATGGGTGTATTTGATATACAAATACCATAGCTTGAAGCTTTTGCCCCTACTTGCCACCTCTCCATTGTATGTCATTGGTCCCAAGGTCGAGTGGAATTGGATGAATTAGGGCAGATGGGTGAGCATAAATCCATCTCCAGTGCTAGGGAAAAACTCTTGGCCCATGACTTCATGATGAAGTCAGTGGCATAGTGAGATGAGTGTGGGATTTGAAATCAGAAGGTGTGGGTCTGAATTCTGGCCCACAGTGATCAAGTGTGATCTGGGATAAGCTTTGTCACCTCTCTGAGCCTCAGTTTCCTCCTTTGTAAAATTAGGTCAGATGCTGTCATAGTTAGAGCTTCCTTCAAAGGGTTCCTATGCTCTAACCGATGGAGCAGACTCAGCTTGTTTGGGTTTTGTTTAAGGACACATGGAGGAGATAGGCAGATTAGCTGTCTCAAGTGGGCCCTAAGCAGTCATAGCTACATTGCATACTTCTCCTGGCCTTGCAACGTCCTACATTGTGGGGATATGCTGTTTAGTGACGGAAATTTGCTCTGTACAAGTCAGGACTCCTCTTAGAGATGATGAATTCACAGTCCTTAACTCCCTGTCCCCAACACATACCCATATCCACTTTTGGGGTGGGATTGGGATTACGATGAAATCCTAGACCAAGGATCATATGTAAATGAGATTTGACTTGAGCTGAATCTGGTTCATTCTGTTTTTTTTTTCCTAATTATTTATTTATTTTTTTTTAAAGGCAATTTGGGTTAAGTGACTTGCCCAGGGTCACACAGCTAGTAAATGTCAAGTGTTTGGTCTGACGTCAGATTTGAACTCAGGTCCTCCTGACTTCAGGGCCGGTGCCCTATCCATTGCACCACCTAGCTGCCCATTCTGGTTCATTCTGAAAAGAGTTTTGTCTACCCTGGTTTCAAGTACCAGGCATGTTCTCAGGCTTGAGTGATCTATGAAGGTTGAGACTCTTAGCATGCACATAATTCCACAAATTCCATAATGCCTCAGTTTCCTCAATAGTAAAATGACGGGGTTAGACATTGAGATAGCTGATATTTGGAGAGCATGTTTGAATTTCCAGCCCAAAGTTCGCAACAGATGACATCTATGTTCTCTTCCAGCTCAAAATCTGGGATGGGTTGGTAGTATCCTCAGCTTAATGGACACTTTACATTTAGAGTGAAACTGTATTTATCTTACATACAGAATTTTTTGTATGTTAGTCAATAGTCAACACATTATTAAATGCCTCCTATGTGCCAGGAACTGTGCTAAGTGCTGGTTGTCTCCCCCATTAAAATGTGAACTCCTTAAGGGCAGGACCATGTTTTTGCTTTCTTTGCTTGTGCTTAGCATGATGGCTGACACACAGTAAGATCTTATACATGCTTGGTGATTGATTGGCTAACAGACAGACAGCATGATTCAATCCACTAATTTGAGGATGCAGTCCTAATGGGAATCTCAGCCAATTAGAAAGAGGAATGGGTTCTTGGAGAGGATGTATATCGATTTGTGGCTGCAATTGACTTTCCTATTTTGTTATTCCCTTCACATTCCAGCCGTTGTTCTGGAAGACAACGATGGCCAAGCGCACCTTCTCCAGCCTGGAGATCTTCTTAATTTTCCTCCTTTTGCTGATGACGGCGATCACAGTGGCCCTGCTCACTCTCCTATTCACCACCAGTGGGATCTCAGAAAACAATAAAGGCAAGTGACATTACTTCTGTAATCTCTTGGGTGGTCCCAGAGCATCAGGCCTTGAAAGACCCACAGAGATCTGGGAGCATGAATAAGAGGCTGTTGGTGACCCACTGGGAGCCCCCAGTGGAATTATCTGGGCAAGACCTGCCTAGGTGGGCAGCAGAGTGGCAGGAGATCTGGCCTTGGGATTGGAGAGCTTGGGTTTCCAGTCCCAGCTCTGCTGTTTACTTTTGCATGACCTTGGGTGAGTCACTATACCTCTTTAGACCTCAGTTTCCTCACCAGTAAAATAAGGAAGTTGGGTAGTGGGATAGCTGATATTTGGAGAGCATGTTTGAGTTTGCTATACCTTAGAATCTCATCTTGGATCTTTGAAGTAGATGTTACTGTCCCATTTTACAGAGGAGGAAATAGTCTCAGAGAAGTAAACTGGTTTTCCCACAGTCACACAGCTGGCAAATGTCAGGGGCAAAATTTGAATCCAAGAGGCAGCTAGGTGGTGTAGTGGATACAGTACCAGCTCTGGAGTCAGGAAGACCTGAGTTCAAATCTGGCCTCAGACACTTACTAGCTGTGTGACCCTGGGCAAGTCACTTAACCCCATTGCCTCCAAAACAAACAAACAAAAAAAAGATTTGAATTCAGGTCTTCCTGACTCCAAGTCCAGCGCTCCATCTGTTGGGTGACACTGTCTCACAGATAATGTCTAAGGTCTCTCCCAGCCCTGTCTATGGCCAGAATTCTAGTTTGCTCTGCCTCTAAGGAGTCCTGAGATTATCTTTTTCTTCCACATGGCCTGAGTTTTCTGCATAAACAATTTGATTTTTTACAGCACCTTCAGGTTTTCAAAATGCTCTGCTCATAAAACCATCTGAGGTAGACAGACAGGATGGCCTGGAGCTGCCCCAGTGACAATCTCAGTCAGCTAGTCAGAGGCATGAGGACTTGGAGAACATTGATCTTGGCTTATGACCACAACTGGCATCTTCTTTTGGATGTGTTAACATCAGATGAGGAAACTGAGGTTCAGAGAGGAACAACTGACTTGCCCAGAGTCACACACCTTGGGTGGATCAGAAGGAGAATTTGAATGCAGGTCTTTCTTGACTCAAAGCCCAACATTCTTTCCCCTCAGTCAAGCACTTAATAAATGTGGAATAAAATGGGAGATATGATATTGCCCTCTCTTTATAGAATGTTTTATGAATGAATTCTTCCCAACAACCTTGCAAAGAGTGCTGTCTCCATTTGGTGCAGAGGGAAACTGAGACTCCAGGTGATTTTTCCAGGGTCTGGCAGCTGGCAATGGGCAGAACTCAAGCCACAACTTAAGTCTTCAGTGTGTCTGGTTTTTGTTTCGCTGCTGCCTTTCCAGGAGTTAGCTCATCTCTTAAGTTTAAGCGTCACCTTTCCCCACCAAGCCCTCCCTTCTCCCCAGATTTCTTACTACTATTAAGGGCACCTCATCCTCCCCATCACCTAGGCATGTAAACTAGCTATCGCCTTTGACTCCTCAGTACCTCTCACTAGCCCCCATATCCAATCTATTGTCAAGTATATGCACATTCCCTTTTCTCCTCGGACACTGCCCCAACCCTGATGTAGACCCTTATCACCTCACACCTGAATTATTGCAATAGCTGTTGGGGGGGGGTTGGTTTCCTGCCTGCCTCAAGTTTCTCCCCACTCCAGTCCATCCTTTAAAATGATTTTCCTAAAGTGGAGGTCCACCATGTCACACACCACCCTCACTCTTACCCCACCAACTCAATAAACTCTTTGTTCAGTCATTTTTCAGTGGTATACAACTTTTATGAACCTATTTGGTGTTTTCTTGGTAGAGATATTGGAGTGGTTGGCCATTTCCTTCTCCAGCTCATTTTACAGATGAGGAAACTGAGGCAAACACGATTAAGTGACTTGCCCTGGGTCACACATCTAGGAAGTGTCTGAGGCTGGATTTGAACTCAGGTCTTCCTGATTCCAGGCCCAGCACTCTATCCACTGTGCCACCCAACTACCCACAATAAACTCTAGTATTTCCCTGTTACCTACAGGGTCAAGGGTAAAATCCTCTGTTTGACACTGGGAGCTCTTCCCCAGCCCCTTCCTACCTTTTAATCTCCTTGTACTTTATTCCCTGCCACGCACTGATCCATCTACTCTGGCTTCCTCCTTGATGCCCTCTCCATGGCTGTCCTCCATGCCTGGAATACTCTTCTTCCTCTCCTTAGCCTCTCAGATTCTTCAATCTCACCTTCAGAAGAAAGCCTTTCCCAGTCCTTCTCCCTCAAACCCCAATTCCTTCTCTCTGACATTACCTTCCACTCAAACCTTTTATGTACACAATTACTTACGGGCAATCAGTGAATAAACATTTAAGTACCTACTATGTGTTAGAAGGGAGTAGCGAGGTGACTCGGTGGATAGTGTGCTGGGCCTGGAGTCAGGAAGACTCATCTTCCTGAGGTCAAATCTAGCCTCAGACGCTCACTAGCTGTGTGTCCTTGGTCATGTCACTTAACCCTGTTTGCCTCAGTTTCTTCATCTGTAAAATGAGCTGGAGAAGGAAATGGCCAACCACTCCAGTATTTTTGCCAAGAACTGAGTCCCCTCCCTCCCTCCATGGGGTCACAGAGTCAGACATGACTAAAATGACTGAACAACAACAATATATGCTTGGCACTATATTAATTGCTAGGGATACAAAGAAAGGTAAATGCCCATCCCTTCTCTCAAGGTGATCCCAGCTGAATGGGGGGTACAACAAGCAACCAAATATATACAAACAAGCTATTGTCAGGATGAGTAGGAAACAAGTCACAGAGGAAAGCGCTAGAATGCAGAAACTTCCTGGAGAAGGTGGGATTTTAGTTGGGATTGAAAGGAAGTCAGGAAAGCTAAGAGATAGAGATGAGGAGGGAGAACATGCCAGGCATGGGGGCAGCCAGTGCAAATGCCTGGGATGGAGGGTCTCGTTCACGGAACAGGCAGGAGGCCAGAGTCATTGGATGGAAGAGTACATGTTGGAGAGTAAGGGGAAAGAATCTTGGAAAAGTAGGAGGACCAATGCCACTACTAGGTTTGTATCCTGAAGAGATCAAGGAAAAAGGGAAAGGACTTATATGTACAAAAACATTTATAGCAGCTCTTTTTGTGGTGGCCAAGAATTGGTAATTGAGGGAAAGCCCATCAATGGGAGAATGACTGAACAAGTTGTGGTATATGATTGTGTTGGAACACCATTGTGCTATAAGAAATGATGGGTGGGATGCTTTCAGAAAAACCTGTTAAGACTTACATGAACTGATTCAAAGTGAAGTGAGCAGAACCAGGAAAACATCGTACACAGTAACAGCAATATTGTACAGTGATCAACTGCAAATGACTTAGCTAGTCGCAGCAATACAATGATCTAAGACAATTCCCAAATCATAAAGAGTTTGTTATACAAATAAAATCAGATATAAATAAATGAAGAAATATTAATTGTTTATGGGTAGACAGGATTAATATAATAAAAACGATAATTTTACCTAAACTAATTTATATATTCAATGCCATCCCAATTAAATCACCAAAACTTTTTTTTTTACTGAATTAGAAAAAAACAATAACAAAATTCATTTGGAAGAACAAAAAAATCAAGAATATCAAAGAAACTAATGAAAAAATGTAAAGAAAAGAGTTTAACAGTACCAAATCTTAAACTATATTATAAGGCAATAATTATCAAAACTATCTGGTGCTGGCAAAGAAATAGAAACATAGACCAGTGGAACAGAGTAGACAGTAATATAGTAGCCTTGTGTTTGATATGTAAAAACTTAAGTTTTGGGGATAAGGATTCATTATTTGGTAAAAATTGTTGGGAAAACTGGAAAGCAGTCTGGCAGAAATTGGGCATAGACCAATATCTTACCAAAATATTTACCAAAATGAGATCAAAATAGATACATGACCTAGATAGAAAGAGAGATATTACAAGAAAATTTGAAGAACATGGAGCATTATTACCTATCAGACTTATGGATAGGTGAACAATTTATGAATAAATAGGAGGTAGAGAGCCGAGTGAAGTATAAAATTGATAATTTTGTTTACATTAGATTAAAACATTTTTGTACAAATAAAACAAATGGAACCAAAATCAGAAGGAAAGCAGAAAATTGGGAAAAATTTTTTATAGACAATTTCTCAGATAAAGGTCTCATATCTCAAATATATAAAGATCTTTGCCAAATCTATAAGAATATAAGCTATTCCCCAATAGATAAATGCTCAAAGGCTATAAACAGAGTTTTCCAACAAAGAAATCAAAACAATTTGTAGTCATAAAAAATGCTCAAAATCATTATTGATTACAGACATGCAAATTAAAACAACCTTAAGATATTATTTTACCCCTAACAGATTCGCTAAAATGATTGAAGGGGAAAGTGACAAATGTTGGAGAGGATGTGGTAAAATTGGGACGCTAATACCTTGCTAGTGTGAACTGATCCAACTATTTTGGAAAACAAGCCAGAATTATGTCCAAAGAGTTATTAAACTGCCTATACCCTTTGACCCAGCAATACCACTACTAAGTCTGCTTCCTAAGATGATTAGGGAAAAAGAAAAAGAATTTATGTATTATAAAATATTTATAACAGCTCTCTTTGTGGAGGCAAAGAACTAGAAGTTGCAGTGATGCCCATCAATTGGGGAATGGCTGAAAAAGTTGTAGTGTGTGATCATGATGGAATACTACTATACTATAAGAAAGGATGAGCTTGATGATCTTAGAAAAACATAGACTTTAATGAAATGAAAAGTGAAGTGAGCAGAATCAAGAGAACGTTGTTTACAGTAACGGCAATATTGTTTCAAACTTTAAGTAAGTCATTTTGGCTGTAACGAACACTCAAATTAACTACAAAGAACCTATGAGAGAAGACATTATCTGCATCCAGAGAAAGAACTGATAAACAGAAGTATGTATAGAATGGTTTTACACATAAATCTATCTATCTATCTATCTATCTATCTATCTATCTATCTATCTATATCTATTTATGTCTAATGGTAGCCATTTCTAGGGTGGGGGAAGGGAGGAAAAAAAGAGAAATTTACGTGATAACTTTATTATATATTTAAAAGGAATAGCAAGTTGTAGGTAATAGATTTGCAGTTTCATGTGCAATTTTTTTCTGTTCTATTTTACTATGTGATGAAAATGTTTGCTTTATTTCTTAAGCTCAGAATAAAGTAAAGAAAATTTAAAAAAAAAAGAAAGAAAAATGCAATCCACCTCCAGAGAAAGAACTGATGGAGTCTGAATGCAGATCAATGCATACTTTTTAACTTTATTATTCTTGTTTTTTTGGTCTGTGTTTTCTTTTGCAATGTGGCAAATATGGAAATGCTTTGCATGACTGCACAGGTTATCATCTGTTTCAAATCTCTTGCCTTCTCAAGGCATGAGGAGTGTCTGGAAGGAGGAAGAAAATTTGAAATTCAAAATAAAAAAAGACAAATGTTAAAAATTTTTGTTCACATGTAATTAAAAAAAATAAAAATTAAATATATAAAAAAGGAAAGGTAGGAAGTGGCCAGGTTATGAAAGACTTTGAATGCCAAAGACAGCATTCTGTATTTGATCCTCGAGGTGATAAGAGAGCCAATGGAGTTTATCGAGTAAGTGTGTATGTATGTGACATGTTTGGACCTGTCCTTTAGGAAAAGCACTTTAGTGACAGAATGGAGGATGGATTGGAGAAGGGAGAGACAGGACATAGGCAGACCCCCTAGCAACTGTTGCCATAGTCCAGGCGTGAGAGGATGGGGGGTGTGTCAGAGGAGAGAAGGGGCAGTGTTTAAGAGAAATTGCAAAGGTAAAGTTGACAGTAGAATGTGACTTCCTTGAAAGCAGGGTGTGTGTGTGTGTGTGTGTGTGTGTGTGTGTGTGTGTGTGTGTGTCTCCCCAGTGCTTAGCGCAGTCTATCATTCATTGTAAGCACTTAATAAATGCTTGTTGACAGACTGTCTGGGTTCCAGTCCTGACTCTGGCACATACTGACTGAGCATCCCAGATAGCTCCCTACGTAAAAGTCATTGTTGTTTATCCTTCATTCTCGAAGAGAATGTGATGCCATGACTTACAAGTGAATTGGATTTAAATGAGGTAGGGCTGTGCAAGGTCGCCAGCCTCACTTTCTCCTCCGGAGGCATCTGGGTCCAGTGGCCAGATCTCGATCAGGCCTTTTTAAGCTGAGTTCTCATTTTGACTGAGGCAAGCCCATTCAGTGATTAAGGCTGGTTAAGAAATGAGCCAAGGTATAGCCCTTTTTATCTAATAAAAAATCAGTCTGGGAGGGGAGGAGAGGAGAGGACAGAGATTAGTTGCCCAACTGGAAGTGGCCAGTTGGGTCCCCAGTGGGCATCTTGGACTACTCACAGGATGTTGTTTGGGCATTGTTCTTGAAGGAAGATGATGCCATGACTTGCAAGTGAATTGGATTTAAGTGAAGGAGGGCTGTGCAAAGTTACCAGCCTCACTTTCTCCTCTGGAGCCATCTGGCCAGATATCGATTTTATACACGGCCCCTTCTCTCCTCCGACATGCCCCCCATCCTCTCATGCCTGGACTATGGCAACAGCTGCTAGGGGGGTCTGCCTATGTCCTGTCTCTCCCTTCTCCAATCCATCCTCCATTCTGCCACTAAAGTGCTTTTCCTAAAGCACAGGTCCAAACATGTCATATACATACAGGCAGGATGCAGTGGGAGACCTTGGCTTTTTTAGGTCACTGAGCAGGTGGGAGGAAGTTTCTCCCCTTAGAATCTCTCATCTCAGTGGCATCACAGTTCTTCCCTCTACCCACTTTATCAGCCATTGTGTGGAAAGCAGTTTGTAAACCTGAGAATGAGACAGGAACATGAGCTGTTGCTCCCCAGGAGGAGAGGGAGGGAGGGAGGGAGGGGGAGCATAGCACTAAATATGCTTTGGAGTGGCTCCTGAGGTCTTGGAGAGGGCATGATTGATGGAGAGAATGAGATGAGGTGGGATTTGGCAGGTTGTTTTCTAGGAAAGTGGAAATTGATTTGCTTTGATGGAGTGGAGGGACTGGAATACTGAACCACAGAGGATGAGCTTAATCAGGTGTGGGAAGAAGGAAAATGGAGCATAGAATTAGATATTTGGAACCAAAAGGAACCACCCTCCCTCATTTCTTAATTGTAGGCCCAAGGAAGGGAAATGACTTAGGATCTTAGCTTTAGAGTCAGTAGGGACTTTGCAGACGATCTACTCCCATCCTTTTATTTTCTAGGGGAGAAAAGTGAGTCCCTGAGGAGTTAAGTGATTTCACATCACCCAGGCAGTAAATGATAGAGCCGGGATCTGAACCCAGATTGTCTGACTCCATGGTACCCTTCTGTTTTCCTTGGGCTTGAGAAATAATTTCCCATCCAAGAAATAAAAGACTTTGCTTAGCTCTCAGTTGGGAAAAAAATTACATTGTTTATTGGATGCCTGCAGTTATCACTCACCCGACTGGCTTCGATGTGAGAGATTGCATAAAATCATAACTTGTGTGTCTTAAGTCCATGAGCCAACCATGGAGAGGGCTTAAATACTCACTCAGTGTTCACTGCAGCATGTTCTCTGCAATGTTTTGCTCTATATTTATACTCAACAGGCCACGGTTCTCTTGCCACCCAGGGCCCCACAGCCACCCAAGATTCTTCAACCATCCAAGATACTTCAACAACCCAAGGTCCTCTATCCACCCAACAGCCTCCAGTCACCCATGGTCCTTCAAAAACCACCACTCAGGGTCCTCCTGTATTCCAGAACTTCAGTGGCTATCATATTGGTGTCGGGCGAGCTGACTGCACGGGACAAGTGGCAGACATCCCCTTGGTAGGAATGCCCCTGCCGCTTGCAGACTTCATGCAATGCCTCAAGATCTGACTTTGTTGGTGGAGTTATTCTCCCTATCCCCAGAGACGGGGCACTCCTGGAGCTGAAAAAATTCATTATTCTCTGGCAAACTGAGGGACGTCTTTCCAAATTGGGATGGGCTAGTCCTTGAGAGACAGACACATTCTGTCATTAGACTCAAATTTTTAGCCAAGTTGGACTGCCAGATGCTGTATGAGAGCTCTCTGTTGAGAGGTCAGGATCACCTCCAGCAAAGCTGTAGCTGTGTTAGATTTCTTTCTACACCAGCACACAGAACTACCCTTTTCTATTACCTCACTGATGTCTCTCACTGTGGACAGATTAATTCCAGAGTCCTAGAGTGGTAGGCACCTCAGTGCCCATTAAGTTCAATCTAGTCCCAAGTAATAATGAATAATAACAGTAATAATAATAACAACAGCTAACATCTATATAGGATTTCAAAGTATACAAAGTCCTTTATGGATCTCATTTGGTCCTTGCACCAATCCTAAGAGGTAGGTGCTATTATCATTCCCATTTTACAGATGAGGAAACTGAGGATCAGAGCATCCAAGTGACTTGCCCAGGTCACAGAGCTAGTAATCATCTAAGTCAGGATTTGAACTGCAGTCTTACTGACTCTTGGTCCAGTGCTTTCTCCATTGTGCTACTTAGCTGCCTAGAGTTCCTCCTGGAGCATCCTTGACAACTGGTCATCCGGTTTTTGCTTGGGACCTCAGGTGATGGGGATCCCACTACTTCCAGAGACAGCCTATTCTGCATAGGAATAGATCTAATTGTTACTGTAAAGGTGGGAGAATCTTTTATTCACCAATGATTTCTTTGGAAAGTCAACCCATCATCCACCATCCCATCTAAATGGCCACAGGACATCAAGCAATTAACAAGCATCTGGTAAGAGCCTCCTGTGTGCCGGGTCCTGTTTCTGCTGGATGCCAGGGATACAAAGACCAAGATGAACAGTCCCTGGACCTTCTATCTGAGTGGGGGCACATGTATATATAAGATAGATAAAAGATGGCGACGGAGAGGGGCAGGAATCAGGACAGGCCTCACGTAAAAGATGGTGCTTGAGTTGGGTTTTGAAGGCACTCGTGTCCCCAGGGGACTGGTAATAATAATAAAAAATCATAGTTGGCATTTCATTAGCACTTTATAAACATGATCTCATTTGACCCTCATAAGAGCCCTGTGAAGTAAGGGCTTTAAATATTCCCCTTTTACAGAGGAATAAACCTGCCTGAGTTTCAGAGAGGTTGAGTGATTTGTGCAGGGTCACACAGCTAGAAGTGTCTGGGATGAGATTCAAAACCAGTTCTCCTTGACTCTAAGTCCAGTGTCCTGTCCATTAGGCCACACGGCCTCTGGGAGGTGAATAGGTTGTCCAGTAGCTATCTCTCCCTGCTTCTGCTTAACTCTCTAAACTACAAAGGTTGTTGGTTGCAGCCTGTGCTATAAAGGACCTGGGAATATGAAGTTTGAGAAAACACCACTTGTCAGGGGTAAAAAAGTGGATCCAGGTGACCTGGGCAACACCCTGGGTACTGTCACATATTTTGAGATGAGGGGGTTAGACAGCTGACCTTGCTCTCTCATGAGTAGATTTATGTGGGGGAGCACATGTACATACACACAATCTGTGTGGATGATCCCGCATATGGAACTGGTGATGTTTAACCCGGAGAAGAGAAGACATATAAAACAGCATGAGGCAGCTTGGTATATTGGATAGAACGCTGGGCTTGGAGTTAGGAAGACCTGGGTTCAAATCCCACTTTAGATTCTCACTAGCCATGTGATCTTGTGAAAGTCATGTAAACTTTCTGTGCCTCAGTTTCTGCATCTGTAAAATGAGGAGGTTGAACCCAATGGCCTCTCATGTCTCTTCCAGTTTCATGGAAAAGCTGCCATAAAGAAGGAGCAGTATTGCTCTACTTGGCTTCGGAAGGCAGAACCAAGAATGATGACTGGGAGATGCAGAGAAGGAGATTTAGAGATGTAGCCTAAAGAAAAACGTCCTACCTAGAGTTGTCTCAAAAAGGCATTCTCCATCACGATGTCTCCAAGCAGGGACCAGCTTAACCTTTGTTGGAGATGGGAGATGCATGCTCTGGTGGTTGGGCTGTGTGGTCTTTGGCTGCCATCCAAATCTGGATTCTTGGATTCCCTGGATCTCTCAGAGATGGGTAACTTGCTTCTGTTCCTCTCCAGATGGGCTATGCCAAGGCGGGCCAGACAGCTCGTGGGATTCTCACCCGGCTCTACAGCAGGGCTTTTATCCTGGCTGAACCAGATGCCTCAAAGCGAGTGGTGTTTGTCAGCATCGACATTGGCATGGTGTCCCAGCGAGTTAGGCTCGAGGTAAGAAAATACCTCCCCTTTAGGAGAAGAAAAATGAATACATTATTTATCCATAGGGTTATCTTTCAAACTGAAGCTAGACTAGGTTCAGCTATGAGTGGGCATTCCTTGGGATCTAGATTCCATGAAACATGTGACATGCATAGGCTGTCTAATCGGTAACCAAAGGAGTTCTGCTTGGCTATAGCAGGGTAAGGATACTCAGCAAGGATACAGCATTGGTTCAGGTAGTTGTGGTACCTGCCTCTCCACACAGAAGCCTCTCTGCTGTGTATGTGACTTGCACGGCCATGCGACTTCTCCCAAAGCTGAGAGGCTGAGTCCTCACGCGCTTGCCTCTTCTGTGCTTTCAAGAAACGAGGAAGTTGTCCTGATGGCTTGATCCTGGGCCCTCTGGACCAGCTGGCAAGCAAAGTGACCTGCCGGCTCCACGTGGCCCATAATGCTCCAGAAATGAAGCCTGAACTAGATGAAAATGGAATTGGGAAACATTGAACAAAAGAAATTAAAATACAATAGAACACAGATAATGTGACTGTGTGCTTTTCTAAGACAATATGCAGCAGTGGGGATACTTGTACAGGGTTAATGCCTCCTTCAGTTTTCTATTTGAATTCCACGCCCCTGCTGGAGACCAACCAAGTCTCAGGAAGGCTTCCTTGCCTTTACAGCAAACAAACACTCAAGTCTAACCTCCTAACAAGGACTCTGGTAGACACTGGTCCTACCATTACTACTCGCACGTTGTGAGTGCTTCAGAACAACGGACCAATCAGTCAGTTAATAAGCATTTTTTAGGGGTCTCCAACACACCAAACATGGTTCTAAGCCTGGGGAGATAAAGACAGAAGTGAAAGTCTTTGCCTTCAAGCTTATGCTCGAATGGGGGAGATATTTGTACAAGTCTAAGTATTACATGGTTCATATCTCCCAATCAATAAGCAAGTATTAAGCACTTACTGTGTGCCAGGCACTATTCTAGGTGTGAGGGATACAAAACCAAAAAGAAACAGGTCCTGCCTTGCATATAAAAGAAATGAATCAACTCGAGTTCCTCAGCAGAGGAAAGGCGCTAGAATGAAGAGGAAATCAAGAAGGGCTTCTTGCAGAAGGTGAGGTCTCAGCGGGGACTGGGAAGAAGTTAGGGAAGCAGGAGGTAGAGATGAGAAGGGAGAGGATTCTAGGCGTGAGAAAGTGCCTGGATTCAGGAGATGGAGGAATGTCATATTCAGGAGCAACAAGGAGGCAAGCACCTTCCTAAGTGTGAAATTCCTCCCATCCCGGAGAATTCCAAGAATATCAGTGAGCTCCAGCCTTTTTTTAATCTGTTTTTCACCAGACCAGTGATTTCATGGGAAAGTCATTCCTTATGAGGAAATGACCTTTACCACTCGGCCATAGGCTTAGATAAGTGTTCAGGGGAATTGAGAGGTTAAGCGACTCTCCCAGCATGGCACTGCCAGTATGGGTAAGAAGCAGGACTGGAAGGAGGATTTGTCTTCAGACGCCTCTGGTAAGGGAGACTGCGAGGCAGAGGCAGACGCGTGGAGAGAGACTTGAAATGGTTGTTTGTTGATTATAGTTAAGTTTGTAAAGAACATTTAAAATGAGGAATGAGACCTACATTACAGTCTCTGTTCTGTCCCAGTGAGACCGTGGGCAAATTCCTTCATCTTTCTTGGCCTCCGTTTCCTTCTCTGCAAAATGATGGGGCTGCCTGGATGACCTTTACGAGGAATACAGCTCCATCATCCTATGCTTTCCAATCTTACAAGAATGGTTCACCACTCCCCCTCCCCCGATTTGGAGCATTTGGGGAATATATGCATAGATTTGGTAAAAAATGCCTCTTGGAAGGAGTTTTCCCTCCTCTGTGACCAGTAGGCAGGACAGACTCTGACAACTGAGTGGATGAGTGAATATTTGTAAGAGGGGAGTCTGCCACTTGGTACAGGAGACGGAGAACAGTCTTTTGCATACAGTGAAATACGGGGAGAAGAGGAAATTAGTTCCACCCAACATGGAGTAAGCATTTATACACTGGGCAGAACCCTCATGCTTTGTATGGGGGTTGTTAGAGAGAAGACGACCCTTAAGGAGGCTGTCCTGCCTGGAGTCACCTTATATACAGCCTGGTGGAGCCTTGGGAGAAGCTAAGGATTCTAGGATGGTGACTGGAAGAGGCAATCTATTTCAGGCATGAGGGCTAACAGTCAGGACGAAGGTGCAGATTTGGAGCTGGGAAAAGTGAGCAGGCTAATTTGGCAGGAATACCGATGCTTGTGAAATGTCTGGAAAGGTTGGCTGGAGTCACACTGGCAAGGTTTGTTTATGTCAAGGTAAAGAGCAGACAGGGATACCGTCAGGAGCCATCTTATCTGACTCCCTTCTTTTAAACAGAAGAAAATGGAGACTTCTTCCAGGTTGGACAGCTCATCTATGATCTTGAACTCAGGTCTTTTCTCTCCAAGCCTGGTGATATGACTCCAAATCCTTTCATTCCGATGGGTTCACACTCAACCTGGAACATTAGGACAAGCCTTTCTTTCCTTGGTCAAACTCCTGTGCTCACAAGGAATCCTTCCTCAGTCTACCTCCTAAGGCCCAAACTGTTCATTACTTATATAATCATCCTTATAAAGAAGTTTGCAGCTTTGGGACTCTTGGCAAACAGTCTACCTCAAGCTGTTGAACTGCATTAATATAAAGAAAATGTTCCTTATGCATGATGCCGAGTTTGGAGTGAACAGCAAAATATTTCAATACCTGAAAAGACTGAAATTGAAAAACAAAGAAATAGAAAATAATCACAGGCTACTTTGCTCTCTTATTTCATAGAAACTGAGATGGGCATCTCTAGAGCCCTTCTCTTGGATTTTTAATTTCGCCAGTTAACTTTTTCTAAAATTTTCTATACCTGACCAACTTACTTTTGCTTACAAGTCACTTTTATTCCAGAAGTTACAGCTTATAAAAACATTTCCCTGGTGTGTTTTGGGCCTTTTTGTTATGTTTTTATTGTTTGTCCATCCATCCATCTGTCCTTCCATGCATCCATGCATCCATCCATCCATCCATCCAGCCAGCCAGCCAGCCAGCTAAGTAGCCAACCATCCATCCATCCATCCATTCATCCATCCATCCATCCATCCATCCATCCATTCATCCATCCATCCATCCATCCATCCAATCATCTATCCATCTGTAAAGCTTAACTCTTGGAATAGTCAAAAAGGTATACACTTGCCACCATTTTCTCCTCCGGATCTTATATGGTTTAAAATCCTTCCAGAAAAACTGAGTTCCAACATTAACCAATGGCGTCGTCTTATCCTGGTAAAATGTGAACTCCTCGAGGGCAAAGAATCTCTCATTGACTTTTATCCTCGAGGTCCAACACAGGGCCTGTCCACAGTAGGTATTTAATAAATGCTTGCTGATTGAATGCACATTGGTTTTGGAGTCAGAGAACCAGGTTCAAATCCTCCTCTGATATTTCTGGTGGGACTTTGGGGAAGTTACTTAATCTCTTCAAGCATGGTTGCACCCTTCCCCTTTCTTTCCTTCCAAGCTAATGTTGCTAATACTAATAATATAAAATAAAATAAAGCTTACTAATGTAAGCTCCCTGAAGATTTACAAAGTCCTTTCTGCATAATTTGGGCCAGAATGATCATATGGCATTGGAGTTTCTGAGCTAGAAGGGACCTCCGAGGCTCTCTAATCTAATCTTTCTATTTTACAGCTGAGACCAAGAATGGTGAATTGATTTTTTGAAGGATAAACAGGTAGTGAAGTGGGATTCAAACCCAGGGCCTCAAACCTTTCTGAGTATAGATGCCCAAGGGGACTTCAATAAATTGGATTGACTGGTTGACTGATTAAAAGTATGGCCATAGAGAGGTACAGTGGTGTAGTAGAAAGAGCCATGCCCTGAAGAGCTGGGTGGCCTGGCACGGCAAAGGGAAAGGAGGTACTGTTCCGGATTTTGAGGTTTGGGGGTCAAGAATGTAAACTTTAACCCCCTCCTCCAACTGTTCATTTGTTTTATGTCCCTATTGTGGCTTGGATTTTCCCACGAAGGTGCTGAGGAGGCTGCAGAATCAATACGGTGACCTGTACACGCAGGAGAACGTGGTTCTGAGTGGCACTCACACGCACTCAGGGCCTGCCGGCTATTTCCAGTACACCATCTTTGTGCTTTCCAGCGAAGGCTTTAGCAGAAGGACTTTTGAGTTCATCGTGGATGGCATCGTGAAGGTAGGTGAAGGACTCCCCGAGTCAGCCCCAGCTGGCTTTTCCCTTCCCCGTCCTTTCCCCTTCCTAGGCTTTAAGCCAAAGACAGCTGCTGATCTGTATAGGGGGAGAGATGCTTCCACATTGGAAGCTCCCCACACTGATGAAATCACAGACCCATCTCCGAAGTGGGGAGAGGGGACAGGGAAGACGAGAGATTACCTAGGCCAGCTTCCTCGATTTCTAGACAAGGAAACTGAGTGCCACACCTAGGACGACAAATCTAATAAGTGACAGAGCGTGATGAGAACCCTGGTCCTCTGACTGTGACTCAGATGCTTGTTCTCTGCTCCTCCTGTCTGTGTTTGGAGTAGAGGGGTCGGGGAGCAGGATGACTTACTTGTTAGACCCGACCTAGACTTGGAGGCTTCAGCTAAGTTAAATTACAGATATGTGTTATGAGGTGGTTATTTGCATTGTAAACAGATAAGCAGAGGCCAGGTCCAAAGGGCAGGAATCAACAAGCATTTGCTAAGTACTCACTAGAGCTAGGTGGCTCAGTAGCACTGGGCCTGGAGTCAGGAAGATCTGAGTTCAAATCTGGCCTCAGACACTTACTAGCTGTGTGATCCTGGGCAAGTCACTTTACCTCTTTTTGTCCTGATCCACTGAAGAAGGAAATGGCAAACCACTCCAGTATCTTTGCCAAGAAATCCCATGGGCAGTATAGCTGTGCTGTGGTCCGTGGGGTCACGAAGAATTGGACGTGACTGAGCAACAGTCAGGCGCCAAGCATGGCACTTGCTGGGAGCACAGATACACGCAGAAGGAAGCTGTCCCTGCCTTTAAGGAGCTTACTTTTCAGAAGGGAAAGCTAACCCATGAAGGGAGCTGAGAGGGGAGTGGGGGCCTGGTCGATGGCCTGGAGAGGGAGGAAGGGGTGAACCTGGTGGGCCTGGGTCCTTCCTTCTGAACTGGCCAGGAAGGCTTCCCTCCTCCTTCCTGAGTGATGGCAGCTAGTCTGTAGACTGCAGTCCTTTCCCCACTTCCTACCCTCCACCCAGCTTCTGAGAACCAGGGCTGGGCACTTCTGTGGGTGAGAGGGGGATAGTGAGGGACCCCCAGACTCTCAGAATTGCCAGAGACCTCAGAGGAATCACTGGAGCACGAGATCCTGGATCAAGTGTTGGAAGAGACATTGGAAGCCGTCTAGCCCGAATCCTCTCATTTTCAGAGGAACAAAACGAGGTTGGGAGTGTGACTTACCCAAGGTCACACAGCTAGTGTTAGTGGTAGGATTGGAGCCTAGGGCATCATGATTGCAAGTCTAGCTGTTGTTTGTCCTTTGTTCTCAAGTAGGACCATGACATCAGGGAGGTGATGCCATGACATGCAAATGAATTGGATTTAAGTGAGGAGGGCTGTGCAAAGTCACCAGCCTCACTATCTCCTCTGGAGCCATCTGGGTCCAGAGATAAGATGTGGATCAGGATGATTGGAGATGGCCCTGGATGCAGTGGGAGACGTTGGCCTTTTCAAGCTAGGGTTTTTCACAGCAACACCCATTCAGTGATTAAGACTAGGAAAGAAATGAGGCAAAGAATGGCCTCTTTTACCTAGTCATCCAGCACTCTGTGCAACACTATTAGGAGCCACCTCTTCTGGGCATGTAATCCGGAAATCCCTTCTCTAATAGCCTTGACAAATGAGCCTTCAGCTTCTGCTCAAAGATTTCCAGTGATGGGGAACTCGTCACCAACTGAGTCATCCCCTTCCATTTGTGAATGGCTCTCGTTGTCATTGAGAGGCAAGTTAGTATGTTAGATAGAGAGCTGACCTTTAAATCAGGAAAATCTAGGTTCAAATCCCACCTCTGACCCCTATTGGCTAAGTGACCCTGGACCATCCACTCATCCACTTGCTGTTCTAGGCAATTCTAAGACAAGAAATTGCAGTTCTGACCTACACTGGCAGTTCCTGATACCAAGGAAAGCGCAGCCCGGACCATGTACCTACCTAATTGGTAGGAAACTCTTAAATCATGTTAAATCTGCCTCATTGTACCTTCTACTCTTTGCTCATAACTTAGGCCTTGGAGCCCAATTAGAGCAAGTTTCATTAATTGCTCTTCCCCAGGACCGCCCTCCAGGTCCTCAGGCACAGCCGCCATCTTCCTCTGCATCCTCTCCCCTCTAGACTCCACAATCCCAGTTCATTCAGCCAAGGCTCCTGTGGTCCCATTCCCAGTTCTTCACCACCTTTCACCAAAGACTGGATGACCACTTGGGAGTATTGTAGAGTTAACTCTGCTCTGATGCAGTTTGGGTGAGAGGGCTCCTGGGGTCTCTTTAATAATAACAATAATGATGGTAACAATAGCTAGTATTTACACAGTGCCTTCTAGTTTGCAAAAGCACTTTATCCCTGTTATCTCATTGAATCCTGACAACAACCCTGGGAAGTAGGTGCTATTATTATCCCTATTTCTCAGTTGAGGAAAATGAGGAAAATAAAAGTTGAGTGATTTGCCCAAGGTCACATAGCTAGTAAGTATCTGAGGCTGGATTTGAACTCAAGTCTTCTTGATTCCAGACCCAGAATATACCGTGCCGGTAAGCTTCTTTATCATAGGGTTTCCTTACCATTACAAATATGATAGCTGGGTGATTACCAAAAAAGTCTCTGATATCTTCATTGGATTTTAACTTCTTACCTCTGAGGGCTCCATTTTGATGACATAACACTATCTTATTAGCTGCTGAAGGAAGACTCAATAAAGCCACATCATCTTTCAGAGATAGATGGAAAAATAGGTAGATGGAAAGATGGATAGATAGATAGGTGGAAGGATAGATAGGTAGATGGATGGATAGATGGAAAGATAGGTGATAGATAGATGGAGAAAGATAGAGAAATGGGGAGATATAGAGCGAACATTAAATAAGAGCTTAGTATATGCTAGGCACTATGCTAAGCATTGAAGATAAGAATACAAGCAAGAAAGACAGTTGCTACACTTAAGGAGCTTAGTTGTTATTGGAAAATACAACATCTGAAGTGAGGCTAGGAGTGTGTGTGTGTGTGTGTGTGTGTGTGTGTGTGCGTGCTTGTGCGTATGCATGGGTGTGCCTGTGGCAGGATGGTGGCTTGCTCTAGAGTCAAGTCCTGAGGCTGAATACCCTAATTATCCAGGTTATTCTCATGGTCATGCCTCATTTTTCAGGATTGTTTAGTGTCCAATGGCTAGCGCTTTCAGCTTTTACATATTGAGGTAAGCAATGGTGAACTCTTGTGTAAGATAGGTTTCCAGTCCCTTCCTCAGTACTCCACATCTTTGTGACCCTGGGCAAGTCACTTCATCTTGCTGAACCTCAGTTTCCTCCTCCAGAAGATGCAGAGATTCCTGCCTGTAGTCCCAGCCTCATAGGATTGTTATGAGGATGGTACTTGGTCTAGCAGAAAGAGAACTGCTTTAGCATTGGAGGATCTGGGTCCAGCACTGCAGCTAATTAGCTGTGTGACCTTGGTGAGGTTACTTAATGCCCTCTGGTCCTCAGTTTCCTCATCTGTAAAATGGAGGTAAGCAGATCTACTCTGTCTCCCCCTCCTCTGTTCTGGAAGTAAAGTATTTGTTGCAAACCTTGAAGTGCTATGGAAATTTGAGTTATGATTATTTTTCCATTGTTGCTAACACAATGTCTTTTTCCTTTACATCCTCAGAGCATTGATATGGCACATAGAAATTTGAAACCAGGCAGGATCTTTGTCAATAAGGGAAACGTGGAAGGTGCCCAGATCAACCGGAGTCCTTATTCTTACTTGCAGAATCCACTCTCTGAGAGAAACAGGTGAGGTGGAAAATGTGGAAACTAGAATAATTAAAAACAAACAAACAAACAAACATCCAACTGCAAAATAAGCACTTTATTGACTCTAGGATAACATGTAGCTTCCTCTGTTTGGCTTTTAAAGCTCTGCATAACCTGGCTTCACCCTATCTTTCCAGCCTCAGTGCACATCTCTCCTCTCTCTGCACACTGTAATCCAGTCACACTGGCTTTCTCTCCCTTCCTTCCTTCCACGTGACACTCCATCTCCCATCTCTACGTCTTTGCTCAGGCCATCTCCTATGCCTGGAACGCACTCCTTCTCCACCTTTTTACACACGGAATCAGTCTCTTTCTTCAAGACTCAAGTCAGAGCCCAATCTTCTACACCAGCTGTAGCGATGACATCAGGAAATAGCGTTCCTTTACTGGTAGAGGACATTAATGCTACAGCTCTTCATCGCAACTCCTGTGGTGAGATCTTCAGAAACACAATGGTCAACACACACCATTCATCCCTTTTAGACAGGAGAAGTCCAACTCTGGACCGCTCAGTTCAGACAGGGGGACTGACTGAGCTGATCATTTACTCTCTTTTACTGACCAGGTATTCTGCCAACACGGATAAGGAAATGTTGGTCCTGAAGATGGTGGATCTGAATGGAGAAGACCTAGGGCTGATCAGGTACTTACTAAAAAATGAAACACATTTAAATTGGAAAGATCATCCTTCTTTACGAAATGAAAAGTGTGTGATAATCTCTTGGTGCCTAGGAATCCAGCCAAACTCGTAGACCGTTGAGGTCAACCCTCCATCTCTGAAAAAATGAAAAAACTTAAGCTATATTTATTCTCCTTTTCTTTCTCCTTCCTCCCCTCATCTTTTTTAGCACTACTTTCCTCCCCTCCCCTCTCCTCTCTCCTCTCCTCCTCTCTCCTCTTGTCTCTCCAGTTCTTTCCTCTTCCCTCTTTTCTCCTCCCCTCTTCTCTTCTTTTCTTTTCCTTCCTTCCCATTTGCTCTCTTCCTCCCTCTCTCCTTCATGTTGTCATTTCCCCCCTTCCTTTCTCTCTCCCTTCCCTTTTTTGCATGATGTTCAATGAACATAAAACATAAACTCACCATGATTTCAGATAAAACCGAAGAGATGCCATTAAAAGGAAACAGGGAACCTGACCCATGCTCCTGTCATAGACCAGCTGGACCCATTTGGGTTCTTGAAGTTTTCCAACAGCTAAGGCAGAAAAGGGAGATGCATATCGGTATATAGGTTTTGTTTTCTGGTAAAAGAAAAGCACACACATTTATGTGGGGGGAAAACTTTTTTCCCCTGAATGAACAAGCATTTATTAAGCACCTGCTGTATATCTCGTCTGAAGAATATTGCTTTTAAAAAAATGGACCCTTGTCCCAAGGAGGAGTTTGGTGTCACTAAAATCACTGTGCAGTTTCCCACGGGCTACCTGCCTTCTCTCTTCCTCCTCTTCCTCCATTCTGGGCCCAGCTCACTGTCCTTTGCAGCATCTGTCCGACATCTGGTCAAATGAGAAAACACATGGATAGGAAGTGCTTTGCTAACTTTAAGGAGCTATGGAATTGTTAGCTATCATTATCATTGTTACTGGCTACACATACTGAAAGAGCCTCTCCAGGGTTTCACCATCCAACTGCACATCAAATTTTTTACAATAATAATTATGTTATCTTGCCTTTCTGTATCACTCAGCAGTTTACAAAACATAGTCCTTATAAACCTGTGAGGTCAGCAGGGAAGTTATTTTTATCCCTGCTACACAGATGAAGGGACTTTGCTGGCAAGAGAAAGAACCAAACATTGACCAGGGTCTTTTGCCTCCAAGGCATGAATGCTCTTCACAACACCACGGGCATCCTCCAGGGAACTCCTAGATGGAGCACTGTCAGAACCAGCCCTGGGCATCTCGGCACAGCGTCAGGACACTGGACCCTGATGTGCAGGCAGCAGCCTCTTCCTCTAGGGGTCAAGGAAGACAAATTTCCTTCCCTTCACAATCTAACTCAGATGGGCCCATCCACCATTAGGCGATCTAGTTTGTCTATTATCTACAGATGAGGAAACTGAGGCATAGGGAGATTAAGTGACCTACCTCAAGGTCACAAGGCAGTAAGTGTCAGAGGTGGGATTTGAACCCAGGGCCTCTGGTTCTAGAGCCAGCGTACCACCTAGTGTACCTCCAATGTACCAGATCTTTTTGCTTTTAAGACTAACCCTCTATCCACTACACCAAAATGGCTTCTTTCTATTGCTATTACTGTTGCTGTTAATAGTATCATTTCCCCTCAATGGAGTTCAGATAGAAACAGTCCTGGGACAAGTTACTAGTCTGTAATTATTTTAAAATATTTTCTTTTTTATTGTGAACTTAAAAACAATCAACAAACACGACCACTTTAATATATGAAGGAAGATTCTATCTGAAATTGTAAATATGCTGTATACAATTTGTTTAAAGGATATATTAAGTTTAACATGGTAGTAACAAAAATCATCCTGTTTGTTTATGTCAGTCAGCAAGTCAGTGAACATTTACTAAAGTGCTTGCTGTGTTCCAGCCACTGTGCTGAGTGCTAAAGATACACATACAGAAAAAAAGATAGCTTCCTCCCTCGAGGAGCTTACAATCTTAAGGAAGAACACAATTCCCCAAAGAAAGCTGAACGGGCAAAGGGACTAGGAAGGTGCCCCTGGGGGCATTATGGTGAAGTCAAAGGCATCTAGAATGAGTGCAGCTGGATGAGAAATAAGGCACAGTCTGAGGAGATATATGTCCTGTCCCAGCTTCCATCCAGCGCCGATCGATGGCGGGATTGACCCGGGGGTAGCGCTGCATTTCTCATCTGGGCAAGATAGGGCTCCCCGCTCTAAAAAAAAAATGACTCCTCTTTTCTTTAGCTGTCTTGCAGCCTAGAGAGCCATATGGGGTATTCTGTTTGTCGTAATCCATGTTAGCTCAAGTTCTGGCTGCATCTACTGCAGACGGCAGCATACGTGTTAAGTAATCATCAGACCATAAAGAACAATGCCCATGCCAGTTGTTAACGGTTATTCTACGTCACCAACTCTCTGTTCCTCTTTCCTTGCACCTGTAGAGTGCTTTGTAGCTATAAAGAACTTTCATACATGTTAATTATCTCCTTTCATCTTCAAAATAACTCTGACAGGTAGATAGTGCAAATATTCATCCCATTTTGCCAATGAGTAAACTGAGGCTCAGAGAGACTTGCTGGTCTTGGGTCTTTGGGCGAGTGATGGGCTCAGGACTCAAACCTGGGATTTCCGATTCACAACCCAGAGCTCTTTCCAATGCACTGACCAGCTCCTTTTAACCTTTTGTTCAGTGCCCAAGTCCATGCAGTACTATGCTCTTCTGTTTATCTTGGAATCATTGAATGAAGTGAGAAAGGGGCCCAAAGAGCAGCCAGATGTTTTTTCCCTCATTTTATACACCTCCATGAGAGACTCTGAGGGAGGCTGCAGGGTTGGCTGAGGTGAGAGCCGAGCTTCTCCATCTGCTCCTGAGCACTCGGTGACGGCTTTCCATTATTCCTATCACCCACCTGGTCCTCTGAATGTAACATTCCTGCCATTGTCTCTCACCGCTTCATCAAAATCACTCTTTGGGTCTATTTAGTGAGGTTCTGGGAACACAAAACAGCAACCTCTGTCACTGAGTAATTCAGCCCATCTGGTGCCCACAGATAGCGCAGGCTGCCTGAGCCTGGACAGAGTAGATTTGCTTAGTGACTACCCTCACTTTTATTTTTTTAGCTCTTGAAGTCGGCTAGATCGGACTGGCTTTTTTAAAAATCAGTTTCTATTGATGCCTTCTTTCTGTTGTGACATCCCAGTGATTTCTGTGGATCTGCCACCACTAACTCAGAAAGCAACCTCGCAGAAACAGCCTCTGTGATGCATACGACGTTCTCTTCCTAGGCCCTCCTCTGCTGAGGTCAGGGCGTTATGTCTCACCATCTCTTTCCAAAAACCAAGAGCTGCTGTAAAGTTGATCAGGAGCCCCTCTTACTGACGTCGTGTGTAACAGCCTGTATTCTTTAGATATATTGTTCTTGTTCTGCTGATTTCACTCCGTAACTGTTCACACAAATCACAGCGTGTTCCTGTGCATTAGCACCGATGAATAATAGAACCCCGCCATGTCAGAGCTGGAGGGGCCTTAGAACATGGAAGGTCAAGGCCATCAGGGGCCTTAGATCAGAGCTGGGAAGGACCTGAGAAGAGAGAACATAAGAATGTCAGAGCCAAAAAGAATCTGATAACCTAGAATATGAATTGTTATAAGTGAAAGGGACCTGGGACCTAAGGAATGGTAGAGAAAGCTTTCCTTTTGGATTGCAGTAAGCTGAGGCCCAAACAGGTGATGTGCTTTCCCCTATGTCACCAAGTTGGTTAGTCCGCAGAGCTGGGAGGGGACCCTGATATCTGCTTCAGCTCTGTTCTCAATACATTTGGAAGGAGCCAGAGAGAAAGGTTGTCCTTACCTGCTGAATGAAGTTCCTTGCTTGGGTTCTTTACTCTCAGCCAAGAGTTTAAGACTCGTTTTCCAATTAGAGTTGCAGAAAGAGTGTGTCTGCATTTATAATCCATTACCTCTGTCTCTTGAGGCAAGGAAGAAGGTTTTCTCAAGAGATTGCATGTACAATGGACATTTTTCATGTTGTCAACTCCAGGTTTTACCTATTTTTTCTCTCTTGCTCCAGGGGCTGGTAAAATATGTCCTCCATTAGTCTCTGGATTTTTTGGGGGCACTCTAGGGTATAGACTGAACAGGTGTTAGAACTGAGGGATGTACTATTTTTCTCCATTCAAATATCTCAATGCAAAGCACAAGGGCAGAAGAGAAAGAGAGAGCAAGAAAATGTTCTTTAAAAATATTTAGATCAGGGGTGGAGCCAAGATGGCGGAGGGAAAGCAGTGACTTGCTAGAACTCTTCCCCAAACCCCTCCAAATACCTACAAAAAATGGTTCTAAACAAATTCTAAAGCAGCAGAACCCACAAAAAACAGAGTAAAACAAATTTCCAGCCCAAGACAACCTGGATGGCTGATCGGAAAGGTATATTGCGCCGGACGGGGAGAGGAGCGCAGTTCAGTGTGGGCGCGCAGGCTGCAGAGACCCTGGAGCAGGCCTCAGAGGACTGAATCCCAGGCAGCTGTGGCGGTTTCCAGACTTCTCAACCCAGGAACGCCAAAGACAACGTGGAAGGTCAGTGGGAAAAGTCTGTGACTATAGTGAGAGAGGAGCTAGGTCTCAGCTACAAAGTGTGGCCCGGGGCCACAGCTTTTTTCTGAGCTTCCAGCCCACAGACTGAGGGGGAATCGAGTAACTGATCAGAGGGGGATTGCAGGGATCTCTTTGTCAGGGCTGAGGCAGGAATCTCTTGCTTTTCCGGTGCTTGGATCTGGGTCACAGTTCTGAGGGGCAGTCCTCGGGCAAGGAGGAATGCTGGTGTGGTGGAGCTTGTTGTCCTGGTGGAGAGGAAACACCTCACCCCTTATCATAGCACCTTGGAAGAACTGAAAATTTACAGGTCCCTAGAAGTACCTCTGAAAACAGCTGTACAAACCCCCGAAGCTTGGGACAGTACATTTTCCACATTGGAAACAGACTCTTACCTTAACAAAGAGT